ATAGTGTCTTTATTCGAAAATAGAAACACAAAAGTGAATGTTTGAGGGTTTGGGTACAAAATTGTGCATGATTTTTGGCTGTCAAGTTGCTAAGGTTACTCAACCCTTAGATTCAAACTATATGGGTGTTTTGAGGTTAAATGAGTGTTATTTGAGTTGTTTTGATGATGAAGAACATGGTAGGATAATTCATTTAAAATTAACAATAATCTATTCAAGTTTTAACAAGTTAGAAAAATGAGAGGATTGACTCAATTATACAAGTATTAGTCTTTTGTCAATAAGTATACATTTATATTTTTACAACAATTCATTTGAAATTACAATATCTATTCAAGTTTTAATAAGTTAGAAAAACTGATATGATGGGCTTAATTATATGTGCTAATCCCTCATCAGCAAGTAAATTTACACATTCAGACTTTTAACAAGTAAAATATATGAAGTTTTAAAACTCCTAATTTGTAATTGTCCATGGTAGGGGTTCCAGTGGCAGGTTGACAGTTGGCACCAATGATAGTGAGGGGTGGCTTTTTTTTTAACTTCAGGGGTAATTTAGTCTTTTGAAGTAAAAAAAATTAATATCAGTCAAGGGTCAAAGAACTGTAGTGTAATTTTAAAATTTATTGATCCTCAATTGATATAAATTTCCTCCAATAGTCTTTGGTTGATATTTTCCCATTTATTAATATAAGAAATATATTTTTTGTTTAATTATGCAATAATAAGTACATTTCCTATATTAACAACTTCATATTAATAATCAACAACTTCAATATAAATAGGATTAAGGTTCCTTTTTACCTTGAAACTTTTTTTCAAGGAGGATTAGGTACCTTATACTGATAAATGGAGTAATTTTTTCTTGGGTCATTTTTTCAAAGAGCAAAAAACACCTTCTGTCAGTTAGCTATTAACTTTATTATTTTCTATTGATATAATATGTGCGTGGGGCCCTTACACAATAACAGATAGGACTTTAATAATGTCTTTTAATGCTATTTATCCCTAAACTTTTTTTTCCAAAAATGCTGGGAGCCCTGAAGTCATTTTAAAATAAAATTTATGAAATATAGTTAAAATATTAAATATTTTTATATTTAATAATTTAAATATTATTGTTTATAAATGTTCATTCAAAATTTATAAATTATTTTTTAAATATTAGCACCTCAAACTAGATTTACATAAATTTTTAAATGACTTATAAATTGTGTGTGAACATTTGTAAATAATAATAATTTTTATAAATAAATTATAGAAAATGACCTTATAAGAAAATTAATAGTGATTAAATCCCTTAACCTTTTGGGTCCTTCAATGTAATTATTTTTATTCAACTAATGGTCAAATTAACAGATACCTAAAATTGAAGTGTCACTTGCTCAACTTTCCAACTAGGCTAAAAATATATTACTTAAAATATTTTTGCAGTAATTCATACTCATCAAGAGGAATGACACTTAAGAAGAACCTAAAAAAATTATGGAGAATGACCCAAAAAAAATTTAGTAACTTAATAAGTAGTAAATGACACTTAAGAAGAACCTAAAAAAATTATGGAGAATGACCCAAAAAAAATTTAGTAACTTAATAAGTAGTAAGTTCTTATAAGCTCATTTTTCATAATTTATTTGTTATTATTATTATTTAGAAATCTTCATACACAATTTACAAGTCATCTATAAATTTTTAAAAAACTAATTTAAACAGTTAATATTTAAAAATATTGTTAAACTTTTAGATCAATATTTATTAATAATAATATTTAAATTATTAAATATTAAATACCTGAATATTTTAAACAATATTTATTAAATTTTTTTTAACAAGATTTCAAGAACCTAACACTTTTGAAAAAAGAATTCATGAGTAAATTAGAACCAAAGAACATAATTAAAGTCATACTTATCACTACGAGTGGGCCCAATACACATGCACATGCCATGTTAAAAAATGACAAATTTAATCAGTGATTAATAGAAGGGATTTTTTTCTTGAAAAATAATTTAAGGGGGAATTTGTTCCACATATCACTAAATGTTAACGATATAGTAAGTCATAACTTCAATTTAATGTACATTTTCTATATTAACAACTTCACCTTAATGGTTAACAATTTCAATTTAAATATTGATAATATAATTGGTCGTAACTTTAATTTAATCATATGATAACAATTCACTTTCTATACGAACAATTTCAGTTTAGGAACTAACAACTATAATTTTTATTATTTTGCCAAGGATTAAAAAAATTATGTTAGATAAGTTCTCAGGGACTGTAAAGTAATTACAGCATTTCGTAGTCTTTATTTATCATTTGCCTATTTGGATAGAATTTACTTGTCATTCTTCCAAAAATAAATTAGAAAAATGAAAAATCTACCGCATGATATACAGAAGGAGCATTATTGTAATTTAAAATAAATGGACAGTCAGGATTATCTTATAGATTCAACAGCCATGATTAGTGAATCAGGCTCCAATAACAGGAGGCGCCTGTCAGGCATTTCAGGAAGGAACAAGCACGCATTGCATTACATTACAGACTCAATTCAACAATAAAGAAGAAACCATCCCATCTCTGGAAATCCCAAAAGCTCAAAACTCCTTCAATTCGAAATCCCAAACTGAAGAAAACCAAATGCTTGTTCTGAGCACTATCTGCTAATTCTCACTGTATTTTGCTATAGATCGACGCCATGTTAAGGTCACTTGAGGCTCTTCCCAGATGGATCTCTAACGTGAGCAGTGGTGCTAAACAATGAGAGGACCATGAGCCCAAGGCTACACAAATGTAAGATCTTTGTCGCAGGATTCAATTTTGGTGTTCATCACTTGATAAGCATATGAACCATTCAGATTTTTAATCTAGATAATCTAAATTTTATAAAATTTATTTTTTTAATTTTATTTTATATTGATTATAAAAAATTATACAATTTTAATAAATTTATTTTATTATCAATTTAGACAATACAAATTTAGTTTAAATAGTTTAATTTAATATTAATTTTTTTAAATTAACTATCTATATGTATTTTGGATAGACTATGTTCAAAATATATTTGGATAGTTAATTTATAAAAATTTTAAAAAAATTAATATTAAATTAAAGCATCTAGATTACTTGCCAGATTGAAAATAAAGTAGATTTATTAAAATTTATATTTTATATTTTAATAACTATATAATAAAATATAAAAATAAAAATGATAAATCTAAAAAATCTGGACGGTCACCGAAACTGAACCCCTTGGTCGTGGGTAGGTGTTCATAGGTTCGGTTTGGTTTGGTTTTGGGCAAAAACCAAACCGAACCGAACCAATCGGTTTACTTATTAATGGGACCTTATCGGTTTTTGTTATAATCGGTTTGGTTCGGTTTTATGTTCGGTTTGGTTCGGTTTGGTTAATGTTTAGATCAAGTTTTAATGAATTTATTTATTTATTTTTCTTTTTTATCCATATTCATTAAACCTAATTTTTTTGACTCCTTTTTTTATAAATAGAGGCATAAAAATATAATAAAATTTTAATATGATAACAATAATTAATCATAAAAATTGATATTAGTAATAGTATTTAGAATTAAAATTATTTAATGTTATGAATTTTTATTCAGGTCATTTAAAAATATTTATCTACATATCTATATTTTAACATGTAATATATAACGAAAAATAACTATAAAAAATTCTAAACAAAATGTTTCTTGTAAATAAATTGAATATATGAAACTTTTGGTTTAATTCTTTTTGTGTGGACAAAACTAGAGGACAAATATCCTCGAAAGCAACATGGGGGAGGAACAAAATTAAACGAGTCAGGAAGCTAGGGCACATTTATTATATACTTATACTGTAATTTAGAACAACATATCCAACAGACCAACACCCATCATGGTCTATGTTTATCATTCTTTCTCTATTTTTAACATTTTAGCTTTCCAAGTTTATAATATAGTTGTCAATATAATGTAATCTCTTATTCTCTTTCCATTATGGCAAATCCTTGTCATCATTGTTTTCTTTTTCACTTTCTCACGTTGACACTAACTCATCTTGTTTTTTCCATTCTTACAGTGATGAAAACGACAGGCAACAATGAGGCCAAGCCTTTGATTATGAGCCGGAAGTTTGTGAAAATAAAAAAGAACATGTTAATCATTGACTTCCTTCAAGGTGTGCATGTGATAAGCCAATAATTATTCAAACATAGAGAAAGCAAAAAGTTGCCAAGTGTTGCTGTCTTAATCTAAAGCAATAAGATGATACTAATTGTTAGATTCTCATTTCTTAACACATACAATTTATATAACCTCATGTCTTTAGCAATCATTTCTCAATATCATAGTATCTATCATAATATTCACTTAAACTATACCAAATGTCTAGCATTCCAAAAAAAAATTGACATATTTAATTACAACTTGTCCTTAAACTAAAAAGAGACATTCATATGCTTGAAATTATCCAAAAAAAAAATCATTCCATCTCAAGCATCAATCAATTGTTATATGAGGCATAACACCTGAAATGAAGGAAGAAAACAAGTCAATATCCAAATAAAAAGAATAATTTTATGACAAATAAAATAATTGACACATATATACTATATAGTACATTAGTACTTACATATACAAAAAGAGGTTAGAAGATCTTGATAGCTAATTATCATCATCTTCATTCAAAGTGACAACACCAAGATCTATAATAATAAAACAAATTATCAAAGCAATAAATAATCTAATAAATAATTAAACTAAATAAATATCACTTTCAATTTATAAAAATATTACCAATTACATATACAAAAAGAGGTTAGAAGATCTTGATAGCTAATTATCATCATCTTCATTTAAAGTGACAACACCAAGATCTATAATAATAAAACAAATTGTCAAAGCAATGAATAATCTAATAAATAATTAAACTAAATAAACATCACTTTCAATTGTAAAAATATTACCAATTTCTATTTTCTCAATTTCATCCACCTTCTCTTCAACATCACTTGCTAATGGAGTAGATTGAAACCAATTATTTGCACAAATAAGGGCTTCCACTGTCTTGATACCCAATGAACATCTATACTCATTTAGTATACGACCCCCAGTGCTGAAAGCAGATTCAGAAGCTACAGTGGAGATAGGCATGGCTAATACATCCCTAGCAATTTGTCCAATGACAGGATATTTAGATGAATTCACTTTCCACCAATTAAGTATGTCAAATTTGGGATTTGTTTTTTCTCTAGTCTCCATCAAGTAGAGGTCCAACTCTGATTGATTTTCAACATTATCATCTTCATTCATAACTTTATCAAACTCCATTGCAAATGAATCTTTTTCACCATCATCATAGGAAACACCTTCCTTCACTTGGGATTGAGTATTGGTTGAACTTTTTTTAAGGCCATGAAAAGACTTGTATCTATCATACATCTTGAAAAGCAACTCTTTCACCTGCCTAGTGAAATATTCAGCCATATCTTCATCGTAGAGTTTTTTCAAACTCCACTCCACAAATTTCAACTTGTACCTAGGATCAAGTACCACAGCTATAAAGATCATCATATTCAAATTATCAACATTCCCCCAATACTTGTCATGTTTTTGTTTCATCTTCCTTGCCATTGAATTCAACAAAGGATCATCACTTAGACACATATCATTCAAAGTCTTTACTACCAAGCAAAACTCATGAAAATATTGAGAAGATGTAACATATAATGAGCCAGAGACTTTTTTGGTGACATCAAAAAATATTTTCAAGAATTTGACAAAAACACGTGCATTTTCCCAATCCTTTATGGTTGGGGGTCCTTCCTTATCAATTGCAAAAGTAGTATCCTTTTCTTCTAATCTCTTGAATGCCTTTTGAAATTTCAAGGCACTTTCAAGCATCATGTAAGTAGAATTCCATCTTGTAGGACAATCTAACTTCACAATATCCTTTTCTTGAATTCTTGTTTGCTCTACACAAGACTTGAACTTTTGGAACCGTAATGGTGATGCACGAATATATCGAACTGCATTTCTAATTCTTGTTAAAGTATCACCAATCTCTTTCAACCCATCATTAACAACTAAATTCAAGATGTGCGCACAACATCTAACATGCATGTATTCTCCTTTCATAATGTGCCCATTCCAATCAAGTATCCTATCTTTAACATAAGATATAGCAGTGTCATTACTTGAGGCATTATCAACTGTAACTGTAAAAACTCTATCAATTCCCCAACTCAACAAACACTTCTCAATCAATTCACCAATAGTTTCACCTTTATGATCAGCAATTTGACAAAAGTTCAAAATTCTTTTATGCAATTTCCACTCATCATCAATGAAATGTCCAGTGAGGCATAAGTAATTCATATTTTGTAAAGATGTCCAGCAATCAGTGGTCAAACAAACACTTTGTTTTGATTTACAAAATACATTCCTCAACTTAGCTTGTTCAGACAAGTAAAGACTCAAGCAATCTCTAGCTACTGTAGTACGTGATGGAAGGGGAAATAGAGGTTGTGCAATACTCATGAAATACTGAAAACCTTCATTCTCAACAAATTTAAAAGGCAACTCATCAACAATTATCATTCTAGCAAGAGCTTGCCTACAAGAATTAAGATCAAATGTCACCCCCTTCAAACTAGTTCCACAACCTTCTCCTTCTTCTTTTTTTTTTTGGTTGGAAGGAAAGTTTAGGTTGTTTAGGATCTGTATCTCTAACACCAAATTTCTTGCATCTTTCTTCTAAATGTGTTGCCATGTTAGAAGTGCCATTTCTTTTTTTATGACAAGCATAATCAAAGCCACACCAATTACATGTGGCCCTTGGAAATTCAGGATCACAACCCTCCATCAAAGTAAAATGACTCCATACCCAAGATTCAGGTCTAGTTGGTTTTCTTTTACCTGTAACTTTTGAATTTTCTGGTTGCTTTTCACCTTTGTCTTTCTCTTGCTCTTGATCGTTCTGTTGCTCTTTCTCTTTCTCTTTTTGTTGATTTGAATCCATAGTTACATGAGCATTGTTAATCAATTCCGGCTTGTTATTCTTAGGTTGCTCATCATCATCATGAACATCCATCAACTCCATATATGTTTCTTGCTGAAAAAAACATAAGCAATTATATCAATCAAATATGATACTAAATGCTTTTTGTAAAAAAAATACTATATAAAACATTTACCTCATTTTCACTCATATTGAAACTCTAGGATATGCACTATGCAAGTGGCCTCTCAAGAAAGACAAATAATCCTGCATTATATTATGAAAGGAAAGATAATTTAATAAAGTAAATTAAATTAAGTTGTTCTATTAAAAAGACAATATGCTATCCTCTTTATTAAAAAAGTTAAAAATTATGTTTACTCTATTACCTATTGTATATTTGTATTCATGTGCATATCATTGATATGATATCAAAACAAAACAAGTGGTCCCTCTTGGTCTCTTTGCTCTACCGGTCTACCCCACAGTCACACTTACTTATATTGTTTTAAAATCAAAGTAATAATCTTTTATCAATTGCAGAGCAAGTCAACCTAATTAGGAAACAATCTTTGATCAACAAACACATCATATAACTTATAAATCTAAGTCAACCTAAACACCAAAATAAGAATAAGAATAGTGGCAAGGCAATCAGGCAACGGCTAGGATTAGGAAACAAGATTATTACACCAACCGAAGCTCCAGAGTCCAGGCAACTGAGATAGGGAAGTAAAATGCAGAAAGTGATTCAGACTGTGGCTCGAACCTGGAAGAGTGGAAGTGGAACTGTAGAAGCTGAACTCGAGTAGACTCTGTTCTGGGACGCCGCGAGTGGCTGACGGCAGAAAGTGAAAACCGAACTTGAGTAGCCGACTTGGAACTGTAGAACCTGTGTGAGTGTGCGCACTTGGAAGTGGAACTGCAGAAAGTGAAAACCGAACTTGAGTAGCCGACGGTGAACTCTGTTCTGTGACGAACTCTTTGGTCTGCAACGCTGTGAGTGACCGACGAGCGACGGCTGTGGCTTGTGTGCAACGCTGTGAGTGGCCGACGACTGTGGCTTGTGTGCGACTTGGGTACTGGACTTTGAGTTCGTGTTCGTCGTCGGTCGTCTAAGACTGACTCTGTCTATCTCTGGCTCTGCGTCGTCTTTGGCTTGGTTCTGAGGTTCTCTGCAGTCTGTGTGTGTCTATCTGTGTGATGCGTATTGTGCAAGCCTGGCTCAAGCATTAAGGAAACCTAAACCTAAAGTGTGAGCCACACGTAAGGGAAGGCAGGTCGTGAGTCGTTTGTGTCTTCGTGAGTCGTGACTCTCTAGGCCAGACTGAAGCTGAACCACTCCGTGACGTGATGAATCCATGACCGTGAGGACTGAGGCGTGAGCGTGAGCATGACGTGAACTCGTGAAGTTTGGTCTGACTGAGCCTAATGGTCTCTCCTGATCTCATTTGGGCTTGGGAAGTGGGCTACTAATTATTTATTGGGTAATGGGCTGGGTAAGGCATAAGGGGGTTTGGGTTTATTTGGATTGAAATTAAGGTTAGATATTTTATAAATAAATAAATAATATTTTGTTAATCAGGTCTGGTTCAGGTCTGGTTCGGTTTTTAATTTTCAAAACCGAAACCTGAACCAAACCATTCGGTTTCCTTATCCTAAAAACCGAAGCAGACTTGATTGTTGATCGGTTCCTTTCGGTTTGGGTTGGTTTGGATCGGTCCGTTCGGTTTGGATCGGTTTTGAACACCCTTAGTCGTGGGGTCAAGACCGCAATGCACTTTTTTATTTTCCTTCTTTTTTTTATACCAACCCTTTTTTCTGTTTACTTTGTTCAGTTGTTTTCTTAAACCTTTTCCTCTTTTTTCATATTCAAAACGTTGATAGAATCTTTGCCGCTGATCCATCCAGTCCATCCTCTCATAAAAAAATCACATTATTTGTACTCTTCTATTTAAAAATATAATATTTTTAATTGAATCTCACCGTTTAATAAAATAATTATCTACTTTTAAACTAACCTTATTTTTTTATATTTATTTCTATTAAAAACCTTATAATAAATATAAAATCATTATCAATAGGGATACTTTTTTAAAAAAGGCAATATTACACTTCAAAAGATTAAAAATACCTTACATTTTTTAATATCTAACTGCTTAAAAAATACATTATATTTTTGAATGGAGGGAGTATCATTTTTGTTTTTTATTTTTGACTTTTTATAACTTGTTTTTGGGTATTTGGACATAATTTGAATTTATTTGATTTAATTTTCAATTTTAGAAAAATTTTGGAATGCAAGTGTAAATGATAATTTTAAAAGAATTAATTTGATACATGAAATTAATTTGTACTGCATAAAATTAGGTATTTGGATGAAATCTTTAATGATCTAATGTTGCAAGATACAAATGGAAATTATTGAGGAGTCCAAAGTCAAGCTTGCCAATTCTCAATTTCTCATTTCATTTCTTTTTTTTATTTTTATTTTCACTCATATTATTATACATTACGTATATATAATTTAATCTTACTTTGATTTATTAAAGGTCTATTTTTTTGTCATAAAATATTTCATATTTTTTAAAAATAAAAAATTAAAAAAAATATTTGAATAAGTATTTTGGATTTAATTAGTTTTAAAATATTCTCATTTTTTTAAAAATAAAAAATGAAAATATTTTAAAGTTATGTTCATTTTATTTTTTTCAAAACACATTACATATAGTTATTGTAAAATATAGTTATTTTAATTAACATTAACCGCTTTCAACAATTATCATTAGTTTATTTTTAAATTTCAAAATTGTTTTTAAATTAACGTGACCAAAAATATTTTCATTTTATTTTATTTTGAAGAGTATTTTTGAAAATTTTATTATAAAATAATTTAAAAAATAAAAAATGAGAATAAAAATCAAGCACATCCTATTCTTTTTATTTTAGTTTTATTTTTTTAACATTTAAATAAATTTTCTAAAAATATTTTATCACACTCATGGATGACTGGATTCATAGAAACGCGCCCGCCTGCATTCCCACCAGCACTTGCACGCAATCAATCACCCATTTTTCGCTGGCCAAACATGGCCTTAAACATTTTTTACCCCCTCACTGTGCAGATTTTCTGCAGCGGGCTCATCATGCATTTTGTTTTTTGAATTCACTTTTCCCTTTTTTTAAATTTTTGCAACGTCTTCATCGTGATTAAATTTCGGCCGCTCTTTCTCTCTCTTCCCCTCTCTCCCCATTCAGCAACTCTCTCTCCTCCACATGTCCACATCCAACCGTCCGAATCAAGATCATACCTCCCCAGTGTCTTTCTCTTGCTGTCTACATCAAAACCTTGGGAAACAAGTTCTGATTTGCTGACAATTCTGCTGTGCGAAATGCCTCTCCTACTGCCATGGATGTAGCTGTGGAGAGCTTCATCCTTTCCTTGGAGATGGACGCACGTACTCCTCCTACATCGTTGCAGGGCGTTGCTGTAATAGCGCCGGATGCGCCAAGGAAAAAGCGCCCCGTTGATCTAATAACGCCGGATGCGCCGAGGAAAAAGCGCCGCACTGATGTCGCAAACAAAATATTGGCTAAAATGCTTTTATACTCTGGGGATGAGATTTACCAGAGATTTATGGATGAGCTTCGAACTATAAATGTTACTCCGGCTGTGGTAGAGGCGAAAAGAGAACGACACATGCGGGTCTTAATGTCTTTGAGGTAGTATCATTCCGTTTATCATCAAATTATTCCTGGAAATCTTGTTTGTTTTAATTCTGTTAATAATTTGATGTAGATCTGTGTCGGCTTGGTTTAAGTATGTTTAGTTCGTAAGTGGAAAAAAAGAATTCAGTCACAAAAAACAAATCTCATTAGGAACTAATATTCAAGGACAGAGTGACATTAAGGTAGCGAGTTAATGGACATCAAAGGAGTAACTAAAAGCCTTAGTCCTTAGTAAGAAAGATAGTTTGTGTAAGTCACGATGATGAAATGGTTAACTGGAGCCTGCATCAATTCTGCTTAACTACTGTTTAAAATTTTTTGCCGTGAAAAGCACTTTTGTTCTGCTGATCTATTGATGACAACTACACATCATGGTAACTTAATTGCTATTTAAACTTCTTTGCAAGTCTACAGCTGGATTGTTAGATCAAATATCGGTTTCCAAAATTAGCTCATATTTCTTTCTTGACATTGTACATGTACAAACTTTTGCTTATCAAAAGCCCTACCAGCTTGCTATGTTAATTTTTTATCTACCTATTTCTTAAAGTGTGCTTTATTATTGTGACATAGTTGAGTGATTTTGCTTATAGAAGTTATGACCACTGAATGATTATGCTAGTCCAAGCAAAGGATTCTATTAGCTGGCACTGTCCTCACATGCATCATCCTTTGTATTGGTTCCTATAGACTAACCGCCCTTGTGAGCTCTCTGTTGTTTGAAGGGTAGCTCAGATGAGACATGATGAGGATCCAGGACGCACTGCTTGATTGATGTTCTTCTCTTCACACTGGTTTGTTTTGCTTTATGTGATCCATTATTTTTTATCTCCTCTATTGGTGGCTTATGGTTTCATTCAGCATTGCAATTTTACTGTTTATAAATAGTTTAACTTGATTCCACTGCTGGGCGTGCATTGAAATTTGTGGTTTAGGGGATATCATTGACATCCTTATCATAGTAGCTTCATTTCATGAATTTTCTTCTGAATATGGCTCCAATGATTTTTTTTTTTTTAACCAAGATGACAGGCTTGATGTCATGTCCTTTTAATATATATATATATATATATATCAAGGGAAATATACCTCTTTCGTATACAACCCAAACCAAGAAAGAGTGATACGATCTTTCCTTGACCCTTCATTTGGATTAGGAAGAAGATAGAGAGGAAAAAAACTAGGGGAGAAAAGTAAAATAAAATGACATTTTCCCTCCCTAGAATAACGTATGTTTTTCTTTAGTTTTCCCCCTCTCTAGGAGAAAATGGGGAAAACAAGGGTGAAAAATATTTTTTCCTCTAGTTTTTCTCCCATGATTTTCTTTCCTCCTTATTTTCTTCCCATTTCAAACGAAGTCTAAGAGTCAAATTTGAGAATGCTGATACGACCTGAACCAAAAAACTTAAATTAATCAACTGCTGACATGGCATATTCTCATGCATTTGGCATTTACTGACACACATCAGCTTTCTAACAAATACAATGGTACAACTCAACCTCCTATCATTACTATCTGAAATAGCTTCCTGAAAAATACCAATTCTAATTATGAAGCACATAACAAACTCTCTAAAAAACATGGAATTGATTACTCTAAAGTCCTTTTATTGGTTTGGCCAAAAGAAAAGTCTTTTTCACTTATTTCTTTATCATCAGTAAGACAAGTTTATGTATATCAGAACATTTCAAGGATAAATTCTCAAAGCTATTTGTTAATCCCCCACAACTTACCAAAATAGTGGTATCAAAGCTAGTAGTATAGTTAAATTTTTTTTAGTTTTCAGTGAAAATTTGATGTTAGTCCAAAAGTTTGCAATCAGAATATCCTCAAGATAACCAGTGCAGAAGAAACGTCAGGTCAATAATTCTCCAAATTAGCAGCATTGAAAATGCTCAATGGAATCCTCCTCTGTCAGGTTATTTATGGATTGATGTAGATGTCTCAGTCGCCCCATCCCATTAAGGGGCCTGCAGAGGAATAATCAGGAACATAAATGGCTTATGGATCCTTGGATTCAAACACAATCTGGGATTTGTTTCTTGCACAGATGCAGAGCTACTTGCAATCTAAACGGAACTCAAAGTTTGCCAACAGAATCAGCTCACAAAGATTAACATCTTTTCTCACTCCCTTGAATCCATGATTGTAACCAGGACCACCAATTGTGGAATGTGTTGAAATTCCGTCCTTTGGTCTTCATCGTACTCAAGGAGACGCAATTATTTGCTCGGATCTGATTGCCAAGGGTGCGCATGATGAGCACGCTAGTCTTGTTTGCAGTCTGTGATTCTTTAATTCCTGATGAGTTTTTCTGAACTGAAATTCCCTATTTTGCAATCAAGATTTCCTTGCCGGTCTGAATTGAGGTTAAGTTTGTTTAATTGACGGTTATCTTTGTCAAATGAAGAAATATATATTTAATCTGTTCCCTTCCCAACTCAATTTGATATGGTGATATTTAGTTTACTGAAGAGTATAATAATCCTCGAAATATAAAATTGATTTGTTGCAACATTGTAAGGCACTTTGGCTTGCCATTAGATGAATGGAAGGGGGAAGAATTCTCTGCTCAATCCATCTTTGATGCAAGCAAGATATTGAGCTTTGGATGTGCCCCGCAAGAGGAATTCCCAAATGCATTTCTGGATCATCTCTTTCTTTTACCCTCATTAATTTAAATTCTGCAACAATTTATTTACCATTGTGATTGTGAATTTGTTTCTTGAATGATTTTTTTTTCTTTATTTAATTATGTTATGTTTTTTCTCGATTGTAGAATTATATTGAAAAACATGATGTTGGTTTGTTTGGGTTCGTTTTTTTGTTTTTATGATAAAATAATTTTGTAGAGAAGTTTTGTAAAACAAGTTTCCAAAATAAAAAAAATATCTATTTAAATTATTTTTGAAAAATATATTTAAAGTGGTAAAATGAAGAGTGAACGGATTATTTATTTTATTAATATAATCATTATTAATGAAAACATAATATTTTTTTGTAGTTTTGCAAAACAAAAGGTAGCAAAATATTAAAGAAGATATTTTTGTTTTTTAATTTTTAGAGTAACTTTTGATTTTTTTTTATCTTTCAAAACAAGTAACAAAAAATATAATTTGAAACAATTTTTTTAAAAAAAGAAAAAATTATTTTGGAAACAGTTAATTAAGCATGCCCTTGGTTTTTCCAAGTCACATGGGAAATGTTGTTTTTGGGTTTTTTCGCGGGCGCGCGCACATTCGACTATTCGTCGTAACTTTTCTTTTGGGCCCAATTCATTATCGCAGCTTCAATCTCCGTCGTTCTCTTTCCGATACGACACTGTTGTGCTGCCGGAGATGGCGATTGAGAAATACAAAACCCTGCAAATTGTACAGCACAACCCAAAATCTTCCGTCTTCTACCTTTACATGAATCGTCCTTCACAACGCAATGCTCTCTCATCTGATTTCTTTACCGAATTCCCCAAAGCTCTCAATTCTCTTGATGACAACATCCAAGTCAACGTCATCATCCTTTCCGGTTCCGGCAACCACTTTTGCTCTGGTATCGACCTCAACTCGCTTAGCTCTATCTTTAGGGACCATTCATCCGGTGATCGAGGCCGCTCCGGGGAGAAACTCAGACGGCACATCCTGGGCTTGCAAGATGCCGTCACTGCCATCGAACGGTGCCGGAAACCCGTGATTGCCAGTATACAAGGTGCTTGTATCGGTGGTGGAGTCGACATCATTACCGCCTGTGACATTAGATTTTGCACCAAGGATGCCTTCTTTTCGGTGAAAGAGGTCGATTTGGCCATCACGGCCGACCTTGGAACTCTACAGAGGTTGCCGAATATAGTCGGGTACGGTAATGCTATCGAGTTGGCTTTGACGGCTAGGAGATTTTCGGGTCTGGAAGCAAAGGAGTTGGGTCTAATTTCTCGAGCTTTCGATTCTAAAAATGAATTGGATGAAGCTGTGCGGGATGTCGCTGAGGGTGAGTCACGTTAGCGCTTGTCTTCGTAATTGTCTACAAACTGTTAACTTGACTCTTGTCTAGTGAGAATATAATTATTTTATTGATAGCACTTTTTGGGATACACACTTCATTTTCTGAATGACTTGGTTTTAGGAGATCACTAGCTTCGATTAATGGTTTCTCTTCTTCTGTTACTCCGTCTACACCATTGTAAAGTTAATTATATCGGTTACGTTTCACTCCAAGGTGACCTATCATTTGTCCGTGAAGTTTTCGCCAGCATCCAAGAGACCAATTATGATTATTCTATTTTGCTTAATTTTTTCTACAGTAAAGATTCAAGTTTATCAAATATACTGTTAGAATAATGGTTGTTGCTTTCATCATTGTGCTTAGGATTTGCTAGATAAGTATTGGAAATGTCAATGGCTAATTGTCCTAGTGGCAATGCCACCTTCCTCACTTTGAAGAGGTCCTGGATTTGAACCTAGTATTGATCTGTTTGAGTATGTACGTAGGTGTGTGCATCTCTCTTTCCTATAAGGAAAGGCTAGGTTAGGGGTAAATTTGTTTTTTTAAAAAAGATGAGTATTGTACATCTTATTTAAATTGTGTATATCAATAATGTTTTACACTACTAACCATGTTCCTTTGGGGAGGGTGAAAGAAAGATGAGGTTTTAGCTGGAATAACTAGACGCATTTTCTCATTTGTTCTTAGAGTCTAAGGTGAATAGCACCATTCATGTCCTTCGAGCAGTGTGGCTTTCTATGGATATTATATGGTATTTTGATATATCAATTATTGTTTAAAGTGAATTGTGCTTGAGTTCTTTACATTCTACCATATGGCTTTCTATCTACATGTTAAACTGAATAGACTGCTGCCTTGTTTGTTCTTTGGAGAACCTCTGGTTAGTAGTTGGTTGATGAAAAAATAATGTGGGTCGCCATCCCAACATTAGAGCCATTTCTTTCATTTTGTTCTGATAATTCTCTATTTTGCCATGTAACTACAATTTTATTGTATTGCTTTTGTAGTGACGATTCCTAGTTTTCATCTTTCATGTATGGGTAAGATGGGGCTGGCAAGGATTGGAAGTAAAGTATGGCTTTTAAAACATTCATTTCGTCATTATACTTAGAAATGACAACAAATTGATCTGGATTAGTTGAGCAGGGCCTGAATTCTTTGCTAGTTCTTTATTCACTTCATTGCCTTCTTTCCTTTTGCTTCTTTTCTTGTTCTTCTATAGCATCAAGTCGCCATTGTTCTGACATCATTATTTGACCCTTGACAGCAATTGCTGCCAAATCACCCCTTGCAGTCATTGGGACAAAAGCTGTGTTACTTAAAAGTAGGGACTTAACTGTGGAGCAAGGGTTGGATTATGTTGCTACTAAAAACTCTGCAACTCTGCTATCCGATGATTTGCATGAAGCAGTGTTGGCACACATGCAGAAACGGAAGCCAACTTTTTCCAAGCTGTGAATGTGTTAAATGTTGCAAATGCTTGGTTCTTAGTTGCTTTTTCAGAATATTTATCCAAAAGAGAACCGTAAGATTTCTCATCATAAGATACTTTCCTTTTGTTGCTGCAAGTGCTCTTAGCATGTTAAGGGAGAAAAATCACGAGCTTGATGATATTGTTGACGATTGATGTACTACTGATCATCTTCGTCTACTTTCATAGTTCCTTCTTGTAGTAATACACCTTATGTTGGAACTACTGATACAAGTTCTACTTGTTTCAAGTTCAATGGGTGTACTTATAACATTCTAATTAATATAAGTTATTGTAACTAATGGAGAAGTTGAAATTTTTTATCGCTAAATGTTAAAAGGTCACCTACTATGCCTATTTATAGCCATTGTAGTTGGTGGTTGAAGACAAGAAAATAGGAAAATGAGTTCTTGATCTTCCTTCTTCTTCCAGGTGACGGCAGAAAATATGCATCACTACTGTGTGAACTTCACTAATAAATGCTTACATGTAGAATCTTGCCTTTTGTTGCATTCATATTGGTTATATGCGGCTTTTATTGGAATCATTCTACCTCTTCGCTTTGGTCCTGCCTTGCAACACTCCAGTATTTCTGTCAATGCTATCAAAAGTCGGAGCTACTTTTATTTTCCTTTATACATCGGTGGAAGCATTATCAGGTAATGATGAATGCTTTTATTTTCAGAACTTCTTAACAGAAAACAAGAGATAGTTAACATTTACAGATATTTGATTTGGCTATGCTGGAACTTGGCTGAGTAGCAGCTGAAAGCTGCCTCTCTGTTTTTGCAAACAGATAATTGTTCTCCTTGTTTGTTTATGTTATATGGGATATAGTACTTATTATTAAATTGTGCGCTAGTGGTGGAACTTGTATTTACAGAAAGAAATATCAATGATGATTTTGGGGAAGGGCTTCTACGTAGGAACTCTTATTGGAAAGCATGGTGACCGGCCATGGCACATAAAACAAGTAAACATCAAAGCATGTTTGCAATACTTTTCACTTGGAAGGTTTTAACTTTACCATTAGGTAGTTAATTTGCCTGTTGCAAATAGCCAAATTTATTTATTTTTTTTCAGTTATCTTGTCATACGTTCAGAATTAAATCAATGATTGTTAAGAAATTCAATTTTTACGAGTTCATGGTAGAAGCTTTAACACGGAAGATATGAAGTTTAGCACCAGATGTCTCTGGTGATTTACAAATTAGAGTGGCTTGGCATAGCTATAAGGAGGCTGATATATCCCTCAAGTCTTACAATCTCTTAATCATGCAAAGCTTTATAGTCAAGTGTAAGAGCTGGCTTTTTGTGTATTTTTACCAGCAAGGAAGAATTGGCTTATTTTCAATTTTAGCATAAGCATTTATATGTGTGTATAATATTTCAATTCAAATATGTGCTGATACGGTCTGGAATCTTGAAAATATAGAATGTCCAAGTTGCAAGTTTCAAAGAATCACAGTTTACTGGTTGAAGGCAGTGCTGAGCTTCCTCGTACTGATTGGGGAGTGCTGGAATTTTGAAAATTTTCTGTGCAAATTGGAACCTGCATTAGTCAATACATGATCAGTATATGCTTTGGTCCTCTTTGCTTTGTTCTTTAAGGGTATTGTTTGACTTTATGTGCCTAATGGTTTTACATAGGAACCTGCTTTTGTGATGCCAAATGTCTTTTATTTTCTGTGTCATCCTCCATACCACACAACTCAAGTAGATGGCACAAATTCTCTGTTTACTGTTCAAATAATGCTCGTTGTTTGTATGTTGAGAGGTGTCTCAGCCTCCCTCCTTGCTTTATCATATTATATTCGCTCGCCCGCATGCATGCACAACACGTAGTACGAGTCTGAAACTTGATTGCTAACTAAGCAAGCGTGAGTTAAAATACAAGTTAGGGTTTATTTAGTTTAGCGTTTGGAGGACTAAAACCTTGGTTAGCAATCTAAAAGCTGGTTGGAGGCTTATTTTTCTTGTCTGGGAAAAAAGTTGCTCAAATGGCTTTTGATCCCAAAATCATGGTTAAATCTAAAGACATTTTCTTCTTAATTTTAGTCCCAAACCATGATTTTATTCACTAGCTTATCAAAAACTGGCTTGTTTGAAAAAAGAGAGTATCGAAACATTAATCATATAATTGAAGCTGGTTTTTTCTCAAACTTACGTTCTAATTCAAACACGCACTTGTTATCTTGGGCGATGTAGCATTTACACGAGCAATCTAATTCCAAGGTTAATAAGAGCCTATTTGTTTTCCATTCTTAAAAAAAGTTTTTATTTTAATATTTTTAAAACAAAAAACCTTGTTTGGTTAATGATTTTTTAATTTTTGTTTTTGAAAACAGTTTTTAATTTTTCGTTTTGAAATACAAGAAAACCAAAATAATTTTTAGCTGTTTTTATTCCTATTTTTTATTTTTACCAAGTAAAAGCGAGAAACAAAAACTGCCATTTTTGTTCCCACACTGTCAGGAGGATTTTTTTGGTGATTACTAATTCAAACATTTTTTTTTCTTCCTCAACCTCATGCTACTCTACTCTTAGATTTCTTTCGATTCATTCTCCCCCTGATTAGACTTATATTAAGGCTTCTTCTATTTATACAAAATGATTGATTTATAATTTTCAATTGATTCTACCTATTCTGCTTAACTATATCTCTATCTCACTTATTCTAATAATTGTAGATTCTTTTAGTATTTATTAGAATATCTCATTTTATTATAATATAAATTTTTCATTTCTCATTTTCTAAAAGATGTTTCCGCTTTTGTTAATGTTTTATTACACACACACAGAAGCAAACTTATGTACATAACTTTATATACTTAACATATTTTTATCTAATTAAATTAAAATAAATAAATTTTCATGTGCTAATAATATTAAATAATTGCATGTCTATCTTGATTTAATTAGAAAGTTAAATAAATAATTTTAGGTATATAATTTTTTATGTTCTTATAAATATTACTCATTTTGTATCCCAAAAGAAAAATATATACTTTATTGGCAGCAACATATAGACTAATTTTGCTAGACAAAATAACAACCAAAACAATTTTTATCAAACTAGTTTTATTATATTTTAATTTTTAGAACTTATTTTTAATATTAATTTTTTCAAGAAAGTTTTTTTTAATTTTAAAACTATTTTTTGATTACTATTACCAAACAAGTTTTTTTTATTCTTAAAAACAGTTTTTAAAATTGCTTTATAAAACAACTTTTGAAAACAATAACCAAACAAGCCCTAACTCTCCCTCACCCTAGAAACCATTGTTTTATTTTTATTTATAAATAAAATTACATATCTCAATAAGTATTTATTATTTTTTAAAAAAATTAACTTTTATAAACTTATAATTTTTATTCATGAAAAAAAATTAATGTAATCTTATTTTAATTAAATATAAGGATATTTTAATTTAGTTCTTTTACTTTCAAACATAATTATTATCGTTAATTGATTTTTTTAAACTATATAATACATTTTTTTTATATATAAAAAACAGGTGAAGTATAATGTTTTGCCTTTGGTTCATTTCATTATTTGGATAACAGATTTTTCTTGCGTAGTGTAACAAGTTTAAGCTATAATTTACATATATGATATGTGAATTGGAAACAATATAGATATGATATGTCGATATTTTAGTTTTTGAAAAATGTAGGATATGAAACATTTGATATACATGCACACACACACACACATATATATATATATATATTCATAAAATACACTTATATATATAATCATTTTTTTTATATTTTTTTTTTCAAATCATAGAAGATTTTGAAATAAAATACAATAGATATATGAACTTGTTTATAACGTAAAATGGAAATACTTAAAAGTAAATAGTAAAATATAGTAGCAAATAAATAAAATATTTATTTTTAAAAACATAAGAAATATATTTTCTTAGAAATTTTAGTCTTTGAATTTAAAAGAAAATTATAAAAATCTATTAAGAATAAAAATATTAATATGGTAAGTTTTAACAAAATTTAATTTCTTAAAAAATGCCTTAAAAATATGCTTTTGACTCGCAATTTAATCATATAAACATGTATCAATATTTCATATTTCATACTATATCAATATAAATATGTCAAGCAATTTGAAATAGTTTTTCACAGAATTTGTTTAAGTATAAAATGCTTTGTTTTTAAAATAAAACGACCCAAATTTTTGAGATGGCATGCCATATAGAATTTTCTTTTTGGATAAGTGGGTGAAATGGATTTATCAGACAACAGAACAAAATTGTATCTTTAATTCAAAGGGAATCATTCTGTGTGCTAACCGATTAACTACACTGAAGGGGTTACATGCAAGGTGTGATTTTCCAATGTTATGTTAAGATTAGTAGGGATCTACCAATGGGATTACATCTAGTACAAAAGGGTTTATCTTTTACAAAGTAACAAATTAATGTTCAAATTTTCATTAAAAAAGATGTTTACTTTTAATATTCGATCGTATTTCAAATAAGATTATATATTTATCTTCACTAAGAGATACATGCAAACAATTAAAAAATGATTACTACTGATTTAGATTTGGATTAAATTTATTATTTGGGTATATAAAGTTTTATGGATTTGAATTTAATCTAAGTTTAATCAATTTTTTATTATAATTCTTTGATAATTTCAAATGCATAATCTATCCTAATTATTTCATATTTCAGCTGTTTTCTTTTATTACTCTTCAAACATGTGGACTAGTCACACAAACAGGACAACTTATTCATCTTTTTATTGGCTTTCTATGCTATTTAAATAAAAATTTTTAAATACATGCATTTATTTAACCCAAAAAAAATACATACATATTAAACGTAGGATTTTAAATTTAAAATTCAAATTCAAATACCACGTAGGAGAGAAAGCATCGCCGTGCATCCATACAGTTTATTAGAAAAATCACATCTAATTACAATATATTCTTGTTGTGCCTTTTCCTCTCCTTGAGATGTGATCTCATTGAGTGTGGTTTGTGACACGATTTTTTCTTTTAAAAAAAATTAAGAAACTTGTGTGGGTTCCCATTTGCTGAGAATGGAATGCTGAGAAATTTCATATTCCTATGACAATGCCAAGGATTGTTGGTGATGATGGCAACGCCATCCAGAAAAAGTCCTGAAAGATCATTTTGGGCCATGGGCCCTGTCATCTTAGAGATCACTAACCCATGAAGGAATCAAAATCATCTTATCAATCCAAGTCCACTGTCCAAAACTACATTGGGTCAGTTTGTATTGCTCATAAACTGAAACCCACGTACACAAAATACAATAACACTCACACCATTGTTTCTCAGTTCTCACACCCCTTAAGTTTGGACTCATACAAATT